CTGGCGGCTGTCAGATGTTTTTACTGTCCTCCGAAAGGTCAGAGGTCACAACAACAGCAGAGATTTGGCATCTTGCTCGAGGGCACTTAAGCAACGTGGGAATGAGCCGCTAACGGGTGAGACGACGGTGACACAGCTGCTGCCGGACACGTTTCATTGACGTGAGAATCGAACGTAGTTTAAATTCAGCCAGAACACGTGTGTGTGTGTGTGTGTGTGTGTGTGTGTGTGTGTGTGAGGAAATATTTAGATTTATTTCTATTTCATAAAGTTTCTTAAAACAAGTCATTTATCAACACAGGTTCAAGGGGCGGAGCTGAGAATCAACAAGATGAGGTGGAGGCGTGTGTTTAAAGAACCAACCTGCTGATTGGACACTGAGGGGTTCGGGTCTTTAGTTGGGTCAGCCTCTCTGGCTCCTGTCTTGCCGAACAGTCGCCATCCTGTTGCATTATGGGTCGGTGCCTTTGGCTCTTTGGATTTCCTAGAAAATAGGCTCCTGAAAGGGAAATGAGAAGAAAGACTCTGACGAGGAGCTCAAACGGAAGTGTGTGAAAATGTTTCTGTGATTCTCTGGACAAAAAAACAAAGCTGTAAAACTGTTTCCATGGTTCACGATAAACAAACGCAGAGCTTCGTGATAACAGCTGTTTTCCTCTCAGGGTAAAGTCGCTGATGTCAGATGCTGCAGATAAAATATTTCAGTTCCTCAAACAAACGCTTGGATACGTCATGAGGTAAATTCATCCTCATCATCATTCTGACCACAATCCTGCAACTGCAGCAGATTCTGAAGACGATAATGACGGAGGGAAAAAAAAGAAGCTGCCAGGCCGACAGTCTGAGGAGGAGGAGGAGAAAGAGGGAAGGAGGGAGAGGAGCAGGAGGAAGTAGGAAAAGGAAGTGTGAAGAACGACACAAACAAACACACACACACACACACGCACACACACACACACACACCTTCTTCTCATCCCTGGAACAGTTTGATGAAAGCGACACAAAGTGAAGCTCGTGTTTTATTTCTCTGACCTGTCGTCTCTTCATCGTTGTATTTATCTGTTTGCAGAAGATGAAGCTGTGGAGCTGAAACCTCAGAGGGTTCAGATTTTTATTTCACCTCTTTCTTTCTTTTTTTAACCTCAGTTTCCACAGTAAAGTAGAATAAAGCAGAGTGAGAGAGCAGCTGTGGTGAGACCAGACCACAGCGACGAAACCGAAAACTACTTCCTCTTTTTATTTCTGGTTTGTAGTTTCACTCGCTGCACGAGTGAGACAGAAGATAAACATGAAGCTGATGTGAAGGGTTCAGTTCTCACATCACAGCGAGGATGACGACTGTAAACACTCAAAGTGAATTTCATCCTGTAGGTGGTGGACATGCAGCGTTTCTTCCCTCGACCGATGAAACCAGCCGCTGACCTTTGTTTTGTTTCCAAAAACAAAACTCATTCTTATTGTTTACTTTCAAACTGTTTGTCTTCAGCTGATTAGAAATAAGTTGGGTTGGTTCTCTGAACCATGAAAAGGTCAAAGATGTTAACACAACACAAGCAGGCGTCTGTCAGAGGCAACTGTCTTCAGGCAGCGATCATATAAATAAAGAAACATTCCTGCTTCTACGATCCTCCCCGTCCTGCCCTCAGCCACGCTGTGCAGCAAACAGCCAGCGTGGACATTTTCCAGCGCTGCTCCGTCTGTCTGGATTTCCTCTGAGACGCCGGGACGCTTCAGCCAGCTGTCGAGGCCCGAGTCCAAAACCAGGCTCACACTGACGGAGATTTAGCAAACACAGATTTTCCTCCACCTGCCAGTCAGACAGGATTTTCTCTACAGACACACAGAGATCTGCCCCTCAGGCTGTGAACTGCTCTCTGCACTGAAGTCTTAAATATTTCCATGTTTTCACTTTACTTAAGCAGTTTACCTCCTCAGGAATTTAGTCAGGGACATTCTCCCAGATACTGAAGCCTGTGACGACATTTTCTTTCCTTCAGCTGTACAACCTGCAGCAGGACACAGTCACGAGCCTCAAAGTCAGAGTGAGTTACAAACAAAATCCTGTTGATATTCAGTCTGACATAATGTTTGTGTCTAATCATTGAACCTCATCTAAATAAACAGACGCTCTGTCACCGCTCTGCTCTCCTCGACGACCCTGAGCTCATCTAAGATGTTTTCAGAAGGAACCACAGATGTTCTCCAGAGAGCATCCAGAGGTTCTGTCTGTGAGGACAAACGTCTGAGTCAGTGTCTCTGGACATGTTCTGGATCTTCTCCTGCAGCCTCTAGTAAAACATCTGTAAAATATCAGAGTGAGTCCATGAGAGAAAACATCTGGAACCTTCTCAGTGAGCGAGTGGGCGTGTCTCTGAGGTTTCTAACACGTGACGGACGTGACACTGAAGAACACAAATGTCTCAGGATGAAGAAGAGGAGCCGTACACGTAGAAGACGAAGACGAGGGTTTTCTGTCATGGAGTTGTTTAATATTTAGGTTTAATTTAAAAACTGTTTAATAATCAAAGTGTAAATCTGTGGTTAAACTGAGAGAATGTTGACTCGTGCGTCTGAGAGCTGCTGAAACATCTCCTCAGGGACAGAGAACCTGCCGGGCTGTGCGGAGGCTCAACAACGTGACGATGGTCGGCCTCAGGCAGAGAAAGCAGAGGGAGCGGTGAATGTGAGCGACGCCCTGAGGACAGAGGCTGCACAGAGTGGAGGCTCATCTCGTCCGGACTATCACTGACGACTCAACTAGGGCGTGATTAACATGTGAGCTGTCACACGGGCTCCACGCTGGAGCTGTGAGATCCTATGAGAGGACGAGTGGCCAGGATCACGTCCTTAGTGCCATTAATGTAAAACACATCTCTGTCCTCAGACTGTCCATCGCTGCAGCTCCTCTTTTCAGCCTCTGTCTCAAACACTCAATTTGTGCTCTGATTGGTCAGCTGGTCCACTCTGCTGTGATTGGTCCACTGCTAACGGTGCTTCGTTAGGGGATCGTTAGAGACGTCACCTGCTGTGTGAATGTGGGTCAGTGTGTAAGTGTCCGTCAAGAATTAAACTGAGGACGTCCACGTCTCATGAGAACGAGACACAAAGTGTCTTATGTTGACTGGGTGAAGCTCTGAATGTGTGTGTGTGTGTGTGTGTGTGTGTGTGTGTGTGTGTGTGTGTGTGTGTGTGTGTACCCTCCCAGTAATCTCCTGCTGCTTTCCCACATCAGCTCCTCCAGACAGTGTCCTAACTTTTCACTGGGTTATCAGCTGGAAAACGTTCGGATGAGCTCCGGAGGCTCTGACTCAAACATCCCTCCCCTCCGGAGAATGATGGGAGATTCTCCGGAGTTCCGGCACGTGTGAAAGCAGCTGTGTGGTGCAGTGAAAAGAATCACCTGTGTTTGTGTTCTTTGTGTATTTGTGGATGTGGACCATGTCCGGTCTCTGTATTTTACCTGGTGAAGAAGTCAGCGATGCCGAACCTCTTTGGCATCAGTTTGCCGTCCGAACAGTCCGTGTGATCGGTCAGGTCCGGGAGTTTGTCCGGGGCGCTCTGTCTCCGACCCGCCGCCTCCAACGCGCCCCGACACTCCTCCATGAACCCGTCGTCTCCAAAATAAAAGCCCCCATCGTCGTCCGGGGACAGCGGGGTGGCGTCGCAGCTCAGGGACACCGGGAGGCCGGGGTCAGTCCTCAGGCTCTGCGGCCTGACGGGTAAACCGAGGTCCCCGAAGCTCGCCTCGTCCTCCTCGGACTCTGAGAGCAGGCAGTCGCCGTTCAGTTTGCTGGGGGGCGGCGGGCAGGGTGAGGGGGGCTCGGCACTTGAATCTGGGGTGGGGGAGACCTCGGGGGAGGGAGGGAGCTCGGCCGCAGCAGGAGCATCCTCCCCGGGGCACTGAGGGACCTCTCCCCCGCTGCAGTCGCCCCGGCTCCGCAGGGGAGACCCGGGCTCTCGCGCTGCCCCCGGGGCCGCACGGAGGTCGGTGTCCGAAGAGTCACCCGTCGCTCCGGAGCTCTTCACGAGGTGTAAACCACCGTTGGATAACTTCACTTCCCCGCAGTCCGCGTCGCACACACCGGGTCTGGACAACACTCCTGTCGGGTTGTAAGCGAGGTCCACCCCGGGGTCCTCACTGTCCTCCACCCCGTTGGACATGTCCACAGCTGGACACTGGAGAGCCGCCGCGGTGCAGGCGCAATTCCGCTGCTGCTTCCCCGGGCATGGCAGCCGCTCGACGGGGGGGGGAGTCCTCACACTCCCGGTAACCGCGACACCGCCCGTCGGCTCCTCTCCTCCCACGGTAACATCCGGGACTTCCCCCGTGCTCCCCCCGGCAGATGGCTGCAGCATCTGCGGACCCGTCTCCGCTGAAAGCCGAGTCCCGAGCCCCGCCGGACAGGAAGCGGCCCCTGCGAGGCCGCGGCTGCCCGCTGCTCCTCCCCCCTCCAGGGCCACCATGGCCGGCTCCTCCTGACACAGTGACTCAGTGAATCCGTTCAGGCCGCGGTGGTCCCCGACATCCCCGGACACCACGCACCTGTCGGTCAGCCGGTCCGCGAGGCCCCTCTCCACCGACACCCCCTCCCTCTGTACCGGGGGCGGATGTACCGACGCGTCCGTGTTTACATTCCTTCCGTTACCGGTCACATAAAAATGGCCCTTCCCGGCTCCCTGACCCCCACTGACACCGGCTAGCAGTGCGATGCTGCGGTCCTTCAGAGCCCCGAGCCCCGCTCTCACCCCTCCTGCCTCCTCGTTGAGGTCGAAGCGGAGCGAGCCTCCTCCGGCCTCCTCCATGTCCGCTCAGTCCGTCAACAGAGCCTCGGCCTCGGGCGTAAGATCCCGCGACGAGTGCCCGTGCCCGGTGGGCCGAGCTCCGCAGCAGCAGGTTCTGTTGTTCCGGGCGGAAGGGGCGAGCATTTTAACCGGAGGCGCCGCAGCGTTGCCCGGAGAGCACCGGGAGAAGCGCGCTCATCCCCGGTGTGTGACGAGCCGCAGATTTAATCCTCAGCCGCGGAGCCGCAGCCTCAGTCCGCCGCCATCTTGAAAATACCCCAACAATGACGTCAGCGCCTCGCTGTGTTGTGATTCGCCGAGTGGTTCGCTCTGCCGCCTGCTGGTCACTTTCTGTAACTGCAGCAGTTTCTTCATAATAAAGAAAAGATGTTATTCTTGATTTAATTTCATTTAATTTAATTTATTCTAAA